TCATTTTTATTTTAGACGCAACCTGTTGCTAGATACTGAAGCTCAAAGAAGAGGTAGACATGTTGCGCTGGCATATTATTGGATTATTCGAGGTCCGAAGAGAGGGGGAGGACACGGTAATCCTCGAGTCCGGCAACTTGTTCTATAAACGGGAGGGCGACCACCTGTTCCAAGGAGGTGTCGGATTTATCGTCCACAAGTCTCTCGTCAACAACGTTATAAATATTGGGAGTGTGTCGACGAGGGTCGCGTACCTGATACTCAGAGTCACCAAACGATATTCTATGTTTACGCACCAACCTCGGCTAGGCTTCTGGGTACTCTATCAAAGGCCTATTCTAGATCGATGAATAGGAGGTACAGATTCTCTTTGTTCGTTTGATTCTTCTCCATCACAATTCTATCAGTTTCTATGGCATCGATGGTAGATTTGCCAGGTGTAAAACCGAACTAATTTTCCGTTATTTGAGAGTGAAAGCGACAGTAGCCTAATGGCAGGGCGCGGACTGCGAACTCAAAAGGGTCGTGGGTTCGAATCCGCCATTCGACTACTGGCGTGAACCACTCGCAACACAAGCAATTTAAGCTTACCACGAGTGGTTAAGGGGAATATTAGTAATGTTTATAGCATTGTTAATATTCTTCAAAAAAAAAAACCTTATTCGAGAGGCAATAATTCTTTCGAACAGTTTAAGCGTGTGTGATGTGAGCTTTATCCCTCTGTAGTTACTGCATTGGGCGATATCCCCTTTTTGTTTATATATAGGGCATAAGGTACCATTACGCCAGAATTCTGGAATTCTGCCTCCTTTAATAATACAGTTAAAGAGCTTGGTGAGCCAAGGTAGTTCTGTTTCCTTTAACTTCTATATATCTGCTGGTATCTGGTCGGAGCCAGTAGATTTGTAGTACTTCATTTTGGATATGGCCTCCATCACCTCCTCAGCTGAGGTAACATTTCGGTAGGTGGAATATAAGGCAATGTCTTACTGGGGAATTCCTCATTCATCAGTTGCTCGTAGTAGAGACTATTGTTGGTCGAAATAAAGGATTTTATTATTATATTATTATTATAGTACTCCTTCCATCTTTTATTAATGCCCTTGCTGGTCGTTAGGATTGTACCCTGGGCGTTTTTAATATATTTGTTAGATTTAATATCGAGAGTAGATTTCTGACGCTGCTTAGCTATTTTATATATTGTGTTCTCATTTTCTCTGTTTTCCGGTTTGTCATAGAAATAATTTCTAGATTTGGCAATGGATTGTGCTACTGCGGATTTAGCTATCTTCTTGTGACTTTTATATTCTAGACGATCTTCTTCAAGGTTTAATTTTTGCCATAATTTAAATACATCGCTCTTACTAAATCTTTGACGCCTTCATTCCACCATGATGTTTCTTTATTCAGGCGCGGTGCTCCACGTGATACTCCTAAGATTTCCTTGGCTTTCTCTAGACACTGTCTCTGGAAATCATACCACATCTGGTTTGTTGGCTTGTCGGACGCTACGTCGCTTTCTACATATGAACGGACCCATTCAAGGAGTTGTGATCCCTTGAAACAGTGCAGTACTTTCCACTTTACTTTCTCTGTTCGATCTATGTGTGTTCTTATAGGTTTTCTTATAGGTTTAACAGAGACGAGAAGTCTATGCTGAGATGTAAGCGCATTACCTGGGATCACTTTGCAGGCTTTGTCACTACTTGCAAGGATGTAGTCTATCTGTGTGCTATGGTCTGAGCTTTTATGGGTTATAAGGTGTTCCGCTTTCTTTTGAAATTACGTATTAATTATTTTTATTTAGTGCTTAGTTGCAAAATTTAGGATGTCATTGCCTTGTCGGTTGGTATCGCCATAACCATATCCCCCACGGACTTTACTGTAGAGGTTGTTCTTTAATATTCGGTTGGGGGTATGTTTTGCATGACCTCATCTAAGTATTCCCAGAAGTCTTGTTTCTCTTGTTCAGAACAACCAGCTCGTGGTGCGTACGCAGAGACTATATTTAATGGCAGTTGTCCGTTCATTGCTAGTTTTACAGCAATAAGTGTATCACTTTTCCTCTCTACAGTAATTATTCTCTGCTTAAGATGTTCATCTAACACGATACCTATACCGTTTCTTTTATTCTCTGTCCCGTGATACACAAGCTGATAACCATTTCCAATATCCCTTGACTTTGATCCTTTCTATTTGGTTTCTTGGATGCAGCAGGCATTGATTTGTCTGGTTTTTAAGATAACACTGACTTCAGTGCTGCGTCCAGTCATTGTGCCGAGATTCCATGATGCGAGTCTGAGCTTGTCAAAGTCTTTTGGATGCGAACGTCGATTCTTGTCCTTAGCGTCGATTCCGGTGTACCCCCTAGCATTTGTCGCATTTTTTGCATTGATCGCACCAACGTCGTTTGAGGGGGACGCCCTAGCATTTGACTTACTCATTTTTCTGGTTTCGATCAATTACAAGGAGTTAGAAGTTTTGGCTTAAGTTTTACAGTAGCTCTTTTCTATTGAAAGAATTTACTTGGCATGAATTTACTACAGCCATCCAATCAAGGAGAGATTCCACTCCGGGATTAGATGATATCCCATATAAACTTATTAGCAACATGCATTTAATGGACAAAAAACTATTTTAAAAATGTTTAATATGTTTTGGGATATTCAATGTATTCCAAAGTCTTGGAAAACGCAATGTGTGATACCCATTTTGAAACCTGATAAACCAGAACATGACTTCAACTCCTATAGGCCAATTTCACTGTCCTCTTGTGTAGGAAAATTATTTGAATACATGTTGAAAAACAGACTAGACTATTACATAGAAGCAAATAATATTTTACCTGAACAACAATTTGGTTTCCGGAAAGGAAAAAGTGCAGCAGAGAGTTTTGCCTCTTTAATCTCAGATATAAATTATTCATTTATCAGTCATGCAACTATAACATTATACTATAACTTATACACTATTTTATTATATTTTATATTATACTTTATTTTTGTAAAATGTAATAACGTACAATTGCCTTGGTTAAAGAAATTTTTTTTTTAGGAATATTGCTTGATTAGAAGCTAACTTTCCGAGAACATGTAAATAATCTATATAAAAATGCTTGTAGGGGTCTCAATGTGTTAAAATCATTAGCAGGTGTGCGTTGGATAGCTGACCCAAAGTTGTTACCAATGCTTTATAAAAGGATAGTTCGAAGTCATTTTCGTTACAGCACATTAGCATACTTAAATGCAAACAAATTGATTTTAAAGAGATTAGATATAATACAGAATAAAGCATTGCGTATAATAACTGGGGCTACGGCTGTGAGCTCTACACTAATCCATGTAATGGAAGTAGAAAGTTGTATTCCTCCACTTATACTAAGAAGGCTACAAATTGTTGAAAGGTTTTGTGTTAAATTAATCCGTTCCTAAAATAATTTAGTTTAAAAAAATACTTCCTTGTGAAGTTCCCGACTTTGATGATAGCTCATACATAGATGTAAATATGCTTTTATCTGGTCGATTACCAGACATCCTAAGGATTGTAACGATTGTATTATACTCACAGACCCAAACCAAAAATGTACATATCAAAGTAAACCATGGCCTTTATATAAAATAGAATATGATGCTTTAGTGGACATTAATGTTTCTGTATGTCAAGAAAAAGTGAATTCTCAAATGGAAATGTTAAGATATCTAGATTATAATGATTATTGTACAATTTATACAGATGGATTAAAATCTGAAGAGTACACACACAACTTTAGATTTTATGATTCGCAAAAGAAAATATCTAAAACTTTTAAAATTCACAATTTATGCTCTATTTTGCAGCTGAATGTTATGCAATCTACTGAGCTACATTGTACATACAAAACACTGCGAGTTTCTAATTATAACTGATTCAAAAAGTGTTATATTAGCTATTGAAACTAACAAAATGGATTACAAGAAAAATTACATTATATACAATATAAGAAACTTACGAAACAATCTTAAGAAAGTAACGAAGACTGTTACCTTTATGTGGGCTCCTACACACTGTGGAATAACAGGGAACAAGTAAACAGACATTGCAACTAGAGATGTATCCTCATCATCATGTTCAGATCACTCCTCAATGCTTAAAATACCATTTACAGATATATATGTCTTGTTAAGCAAGAACTTGAAATCCTTGTGGAAGTCATACTGGGAAGAAATAAGTAAGTCCAAAGGAATTTGGTATTATGAAATATAAAAAATACCCGCCAGCCACTCTTTGGTACAATAAAAAAGGGATTAATTATAGAAAATTTATTACGACCGTAAACCGAATGATATTTGGACATAGCAGAGTAACTGCCCACCTTCATCATTTGGGAATGAAAGAAAACGCAAATTGTGAACATTGTGGTGACACAAATGGAGACCTAAACATCTGGTTATTCAATGTTGTCAATTTGGTTTGAATAGATTACTTCTCATTAATTCCATTCAAGATATTAACAATGATAAAGTTCCTGATTCTCTTCAAAGTCTATTAGCTGATGAAAAATTCTTCCTACCATTATATTTATCATATTTCTTTATTTCTGGCGTTCAAGATATATAAAAAAAAACGTGATATTAATCAATAGAGCAAACGTGAATAAGCTTTTTGTGATTTTTGTACCAGTGTGAAAATGAATTTTTGATGAATGTTTCGTAATTTTTAAAGATAATAATTGAACACTGTCACTTCAGGCTCAGAAGGGCTAGATTCCAGAGCCGAAAAGCCAGTTAATAAAAAAAATCTATATTAATATTAATATGTAATCTGTAGTAACGCGTACGGCAACACTGACAGTGTGTGGCTTCATTTTTGAGGGTGAGGTGTCTGGTGTACTTAACTAAAAACAATTTGTTATCGTTTTAATTTTAAAAATGCTGAGATAGTGTTTGTTCTTGAAAACGCCCAAATATGTGTTGTGGTAGTGATTTATCTCAATATAGTTTGATTGAAGTGTAGTGTCCAACATGTTTCGATGTATACCTTTGTTTAAATGTAATCGCCAAGTGGAATGTGTAGACAAGCGGCATTGCTCTTTGCCAACAGTACCTGAAGAAATCTTAAGATATTCGCGAAGCTTAGAGGAACTTTTTTTGGATGCCAATCATATAAGAGATTTGCCCAAGGTATGTTATTGCTTGGCCTCAATTTATATCACTTAAGATCGTGGGCGTTTACCTTATCACTATGAGGTGTAAATAATATTTTTACACTGTATTTAATTTTGTTTTGCTAGCATCTAACGATTTGCATTTACAATAGTTCTTACAATGAATACAGTCTTTCGGTTTTTATGCTAAGAGTTAATTACATGTAATTAGATATTTTTTTTAATACTTTAGTTATTAATTGTTTTCGAATTCATGAAAAATATAAATTATTATCATGAGTTCTATTCTGTTCTTTAGAATTTTATTAATTGTAAATCTGAAATCATTGATACTGCTATTATATTTTTCAGAAACTGTAACTAAAGTTAAATTACTATACCCGTGTTGTGGATAAAATTGGGATGGAGTTATTTATTATACTAAAATTTATTATATAATTTAAGTAAAACATTAATTTAACACTTGGGGGTCGCATTCTAATTTGTAGCACAAGTACTGTAACATAAGCTTATTCCAAAACTGCTTAATAAACATAAATTGTTATTTTCTCATAAGCATTCAATATTTGTATGTTGGGTTTCAAATACAGTTGCCTGAATTTGAGGATTCCGTCCCTGTAAGGGAATAAAGGGGGTCTATCTGAAAACTTTCCAGTGTTCCAGTTACAGCGCCAAAATATTATTATTATTTTTCAAAAATATTGGTAAATCAGTAACTAAATATGAAATGGAATGTACATTTGGGTTGGGTTTGAAATTATATCGACTAAATTTGAGGATTCTGTCCCTGTGAATTATAATCTTTATAATTTCTATAATTACTTGTTTTAAACAAAATCTTCCATATTTTCTTACACAGTAATGTACTTAATAAACAAAATAAAAGAGTACAAAATAAAAGAGGGATCAATGATCACAGGGATATGTAAAAAAAAAATACAACATCTTAGACATAAAATCAAACTTTCTATATTCCATTGACACTTTTTAAACTAACTGACTATCAATGTTGTTTTTTTGCTGTGCTACACTATCCTTGAAAGGTACTAAGAGTGGCAATGTTGCAAACATCAAATGTTTATAGTTATTAAGCAAAATATTTATATTGGGACTACTATTAAGACCCAATATAAAAATATTTAAATTTTTATATTGGGTCTTACGGCAAAGCCGCGGATTTACAAATTTTCAAAAATAGTGACTTCTATAGAGAACTTCAGGGAAGAAGACTTGACATCCCAAATAGTGCATCGATTGATAATAATGGAGGTTCAATATAATTAAAAGCGTGTCACTTCCCTACGCAAAAATGACGTGCGTGTGTCATGGTAGTGGCGCTGCAAATGCGCTTCTAGAAATTGTATAAAAATTGGTAGCGGCGCGGCTGGCACACCACAGTGGTGCCACTGCAGCGCTTATTCACGCCTCTAATTTGAAGGCGCCCTAAGGCCAAAACTTTGAGAGATATGAATATTTTTGTAAACACATAGAAAATATCTCTAGAAAAAAACAAAATGGCCGCCACATAGAGGGGGAGGGGATTATACCTCAGTGTGTATTGTATTTTTGTATTAAAATAGCTGTATTATAAATACCTAGAATATTGCTGGTCTGTTACCGGACACACTGTATACTGTACCAGTAGGAGATATACTAAGTCTCAACATTCAAAAATATACCAAGTATTATGCCATATACATAAGTAAGCTTGTGTTTTAATTTACACTGTCTTTAAGAATACCTCAATTTTTAAATCAATGAAAACAGCAAGAGACATAAAATCATTCAATAGTCTTTTATTTATGGTCTGTCACTGGTCACATTTCATAGATTATTTGTACTAAATGTAATTAAATTGGACAGTAATAAATTACATTGGGCTTTTTACAATACACTCTGCCCTAATTATTAAAACAATAAACCGAACTGCAATAATAATTAGTTATATTTTGCAAGGGTCATTATGTATTTTACGCTATCACTATAATTACACCCCACCCCAAGCTCCACTACTGATGGATGATACACATTGAATCATTCTAATGTTTTGTTAACTTGTCAATATCGAGTAAATATCAATGTGTTTTATTTGAGGCAAACCACCTAAGGAACTATCTCTTTTGCATAAGCACCACTTTGCGAGTAATCATTGAACTGAAAAGACATAGTCCAAATTCATTTTACAAAATTATAGAAAGTCAATTGATGAGGAGGATTCAATTAGATTTTGTCTTTTCGGTTTGATGACTATTCGCAAATTGGTGCTTACGCAAAAGCAATGGTTCCCTAGCAGGTTTGCCTTTGCCTGTTTGCCAGGCTTAACTTTTATAAAGGCATATGGCCAACCTCTCTTTCTTATTTCAAGTTACTACACTAAACTCACTCATCACATCCCAGAAAATAAATAATGAGTGCATGTATTGTTTTCATTAAGTTAATAAGTTTCTCATGTCGAATCCCAAAATTATTAAGCAGGAATCTATGAAATTTGATCTGTTGAATTAGTTTTTTAAAAAACAATTGCTGTATGTAAAACATTGATGTTTTTTTCAACATCCATCACTAAAGCTCACTGATAAACATAGGCCTCCCCTATAGATTGCTACTGTCCATTCACTCCAAAAATTTATTCTAATGATTCTTGTATAAACGATCAGGTTTCCGATACATACAAGTTGGTACAGCTCTGTAGTGATCACAACGGTCAAAACATTCCCATATTTTGTTATACACTTACACAAAGCAGTAGGTTGATTTCTTATTGGTACTAACTACCTGAATGGGATCATGCCAGTTTATGCATTTGCCACTATAAGGTGTCTATCCTAGGGGATTTTATTCTTAGAAGTTAAGGCGAGAAACAAACACAAAGTCTATCTGATGGTTAGTAGAGTTAGTAGTGCTGTGGCACATAGACTATGGACTCTATCATTTATCATCAATTATGAATCAAAATTAAACATGCATTATTACCATTGCGGAATGAGATGATATTCCTTGTTATAATTTGAAAAAGATTCTCCTATAAAGATCATCATGCTAAACACTTCAGCATGAATTAATGATTTTTTATTCAATATAGAATATTGCATAATACTTATTGAAAGTATTTTTTTTTTATTTACAACTGGTTCAAAAAAAAATCTTGTGTCCTGGGATTAACCAGCAAGAAACCCAGTGGGACTTTTTTTAAAACATATTTCACTTTACACTAATTTATTTTGTACAGTTTTTGAATTAATTTTTATAGAACCAGCATGGTGGCGATCACCTCATTTCCAGGGGTTATTTTAATTTTTTTCCATGGATTTTGTTGTAAAAGTTTATGTATGCATTTTATATTTATTTATGTATACATTACCCCATAAATTAATTACTAATTCAGTTTTTTTGTGAGTCAATTAGTAATTCAAATTATTTCATGATTGGACAAAATTTCAATTTTGTCCAATCATGGCCTTTGTCCAATTGAGCCATTTAAACTGCAGCCATAATACAGCTCCAGGGTGGCTCCATTGCATATTAAAATGTCATCATGTACCTATGTGGATAAGAAAGGAGGATGGCAAAATTTCTATAGGAGCTGGATTTGACTTTTTTTTTAATGTCCCAAAACAAACTATAGTTAGATTGGTTTGTTTTTATGTTGTAAACACAATAACATTTAAAAATAATATCTAAATAGCCACGATTTTTTATAATAATGTCAACAATATTTTTAAGGCTGAATCAACAAATACCTTTTACTTTTTTTATTGGCCATTTTATTAAAATATAGCATTGGTATGATATAAAATTACAATCAATACAAATAAGATTACATTAGATTATTAAAATTATAAATCAAAATACATTTACTATTTTTACATGTCAAGCAAGTCAGAAAATAAACATTTCATATATTCTTCTATATTATAGAAAGCGTGATTCATAAAGTATGTTTTTGTCACTTGTCGAAACAAAGTCTTGTTATTTCTGGCAATTTATTGTACATTTTGATTTTTAACGAAAAACCTTGCTTGGACGCTTTATCCGACGGCGACATAGCCTAATAGTGTATTTAAAATAATTATATTACCCAATAATAGAACATCTCTCAAAGCGCACCCTACGTATGTGCACCATACACCTAGAGTTCGATGTCGAATCAAAAAGGCCCGTCTGTCAAACCATCTCGTGAAGTTGACCGTTTCAACAAATTATGACCGATAATTCAATAAAAACTACACCTACATGTATTGCACTAGCTTGCACAGTATGTAGTGTAAAAAACAAGGATGGCGTAATTATTATCACACAAAGTCTTTCCTAAAAGATTTCAAGGCTTTTTTGTAGTTTGACCATTTTAATTCTAGCTGAAGAGAGTTAGTCGCTAGATACCTACTGTCTTTCAGTCTTCAATACTAAAGTTGCATATGTATTGAAAAATCGAGTAATGGTAGGTTACGGGAATAAATGAAGTGTAATAGTAGAATTTAGGAGTACTTTAATGAAACAGGTAGGCTAGACAAAATTACTTTTTATTCATCATCCTCTCTTATATCTACAACGTCAAGGATTGATCTTGGCACTGGCGATATTGTCGGCTGATGCCTGGCCCACCCAAGGTACCACACAAGCTTCATAACATGTGCACATCACCCAACTGTCCTTCGATTCAATACCCTCTGTGAAACCTGACATGTTTACTATAATAGGACCTTGCCTGCTGAATCCATACGTTCCTAGGACAAATAATATAACTTCATACACACAACTTAAAGCACATTGCATTGTTTGCTAAATAAAAATTTGTGGTGGAACCATACAACAACTATTTATCACCCAATAATAGGACATCTCTCAAAGCACACCCTACATCTGTCCTATAAATCCCAAACATCATGTATAATATCACTGCATTTATTATTATAAAAATCGTCCAGACTTTATAAGTCCTTTCTTAAAAATAACACGGCAGATAGGTGCAGTGAGGGCCCTTTGTTTATTAAAGTATTCATTTATTAGCAAGTATAAATTCGAAACATCATTAAAATATAATGTCTAGAGATCTACTTATATTATAAATCAGAAGGAGATTGTCATTTAAAAGAGATAAAAAGGGTGCCAGAGTATTAAATTCAACTTTGCTCAGCATTTATTTATAAATTACACATATATCATAATATATAAAAGAAAATAAAAGCACACAGTAAACTTGAAATAGGTAAAATAAACAACAAACATTACAATTTTAATTGATTATTCATCATCATTGCGACAGTCCACTGCTGAACACAGGCCTCCTAAACTAAACATATAATGTAAAATATTACACAGGCCTTTTGTGAATTGCCACCCCGTCCCATATGGTGTTGTAAAAGTTGACAGAGTAAAATAAAAATATCAGGAGATGAGCAGCAGCATCTTCCTATAGAATACCACAAAAAACTTTGGTTGCCACAAGTGTAGCAACTATGGCAAAAATCATCATTAATATTACAATATTAATACGCATTAAGGTTATAATCATCATTCTGTATTTTCAATATCATCACTTGATAGTAATATATCATATAAAAAAGATGCAGGTGGATCAACCTCATCTCGATGCTGTGCCCATGATAGAAACCAAACTAAAATAGCAGCTTAATGCTGCTGTGTTTCGAATGGTGAGTATAGAGTACTGGAGACCCTTTTTAATGGAAACAAGGCATTCTATCTCAGTCCTCAGGGCTGGTAACACATCTGCATTTTGATTTTTAATTGAAGATAAATGTAGATGTCTATAGGTCACAGCATCCACTTACCATCAGGTGGACTGTGTGCTCGTTTGTCACCTTATTTCTATAAAAAAGAGTAAATTACTTTTTATTAATCATCCTCTCTTACAACTACAGCATCAAGGAATGCTGCAGGTGCTGGTATTGTTGGCTGATGCTTGGCCCAACAAAGATACCACACAAGCGTCATAACATGTGCATAGCACCCAAATGTTCTTCTACCAACTAAACAATTGCAGCAATACTCTATTATAGCTTCCCTCCCAGACAAATTATTTTCAATTAATATATAAACATAATATACTTTTCTCAAAATGTGTCTGGATTTGATTTTGCCTCTTATAATTGAATTATTTCCACTTCCTCTCAAACGATACTCTGTTACATTAATGTTTTCTCTGCTTATTTTAATTCGATACCCTCCGTGAAACCTAACATTTTCACTATAATAGGACCCTGCCTGTTGAATTTGATATGTTCCTAGGGCAAATAATATAACTTCACTATATTCTAGATGGGTGAATATAATATTAGTATTGGAATGAGCTGTAATACTAGTAAAATCAGATGTTTACAATCTACAATGTAGCCATCAGGTGCCACCAGCAAAAATGGTTTTAACAAGTTTTTGTATTTATGTAAGGAATATGTGTCCTTTTGGAACATATAATTGGAACTTTTGTTTATAAAAATATATGTCCCATCACATATAATTATCGCATTTTCATTATTTTGATTATAAATTGCATTTGGAATAATTAAATTATGTTGCAATAATTGCTCACGTGATATGTGTTCAATTCCCAGATTTCTAGGCACAAAATCTTGTACCAATATTTCCCTAACCTTATCCATTAATCTTTCTAATGTTCGCCTTGGAACCATTAATAACTGTGATAACCGGTCATCTGATTCACCAGTTCTCATCTTCATTAGCACCTAAACCTAAAATGGCTCTATTTGTTACTACAAGACAGGGTGTTTCATATAGTAAAAGTTCAAATTGTTGTTTATTCATTCCGAGCCAATAATGAAACAAATGCTCATCAATTCTTCAACACTATCCATATTCGAGAAATCAAGAAATGTGTTGCAAGCATTTATAAAAGAAAGAGCATGTTCCACTTGTTCAGCCGTAAATGTTCTCAAACTATTTTGAGAATTGAACAACATATCCCATTCAGTACTAAATGTATGTTCTACAGTCTACACAAATATGAGCATTTATAGGCAAGTAATATTTGTGTTTGCTAAGAGTTGTTGCTCTTAGAGGGTCAGAAATTCTATGCAAATATGTGTTCTGGCAACCAGAAAAAACACAATGTGCTGCAGTGTTTGCCACGCATTTATACTGCGGCAAACTAATCACCCGAGGTATTTCGTCATCTTGCTGGACGGTATTTGGTGGGCTTTGAGGTTCTTGGGGTTGAGGCTCTGGCTCCTGCTCCAGCTCTGGCTCTGTCTGCTGCATATTATGTGTTGCAACTCTCTTGAGTGCCAGTCAACAGGGATAACAAACATGGTCTGTTGAAGTTGCCTGAAACAACCATACAGCCTTGTCTTAATATAAATGTTTTGGTTAATTATTATTAAACCCAAGCAAATAGAAACACTTACAAAACAATATAAAATTGCAGTGATAAATCCACTATAACATTGATACCAAGACAAAACAAAAAAAAGTACAAAATAAAGAGGTAATTATTACCTGCCATGGGGCAATTCTATTTTCTAGCTCAACATGTATTGCTTGTTGCAACTGAGATGGATTCTCTCCACAACAACATCACGTTACGAGTCCTCAGAGAACTTCCACAAAGTATGAAAATGCTTGGGGAAGATGAGGCACCAGGTTCATTAGGTAACCTGGAGTTGACATGCTGTATTGCCGATTACTGACAGGCATCACATACATAATCTTCTTCAGTGATCTAAAATAAGAATTAGAGTTCTATGATGATGTATGATTGATTAGAGTTGTATTATGATGATGTATTATGTTAGTGTAATAAATTAAGTAGGTATGTAAATACGTACTATTATTGAAGAATTCCACTAGCAAATCTTAGAAATTACTCTTGTATCAAGCTCAAAAACGAGATGGTGGCGAAGTTTATCAATACATATGTTACAATTAACACTAAGCAATCGCATACCTAGTTGTCTTTGTTGTGTTTGCATGATGTTTCTCACAATTATCCAAGATGTGAAAAAATCAGTGCGTAAAACAATACCGAGGTCAAAACAACAGAAGGAAATAAGACATAACATTAACAATACTGGCGCGAATCGATGATCACAGTTGACGTTCCGTTGTACATATGTAATTGAACAAAACATTTAGCTTACTATGACCTAAATAATTATTTTTATGACAAGAATCCAATACATAATAAATCAGCATCTTAGTTGATTTGATGTCTACATACTAATTGAATTGAATTAAAATTAACGACTATTCATAAAAACATGAACAATTATAGTCTTTGAATACCAAATCCTTTCACACACGAAAAATGAATCGTCATTGGGTGCGTTCTGAAACGATTATTTGAAATAATTTTGAATAGTTACAAAATAGAAATAAATGGATAACTTTTTTGTGGCTACTTAGAGAGGTATTTCTAGTGTGTTTTAAGACCTTAATATAAGGGTATTTTACATAAATATTTCATATTGGGACGCTATCATTTCGTTGTCTGGTACGATTTGGCCATCCTCCATTTTATTCATTTTGTATTTGATAAACCAGCCTTATATGTTAAATACTTCGAGTAACAGAAATGTCTTTGTGTTACTATCAAATAAGAACTTTTTACATTGATTGTTTCAGAATTTCTTCAGACTTCATCGTCTTAGAAGACTAGGTCTTAGCGACAATGAAATTCACAAACTTCCATCTGACATACAGAACTTTGAAAACTTAGTAGAACTAGATGTATCTAGGAATGGTAAGTGTTGTTTGATTTAATTTGTTTAGCAATGTTCACTTTGCTTACAAAACTTAATACAATTTATCAAATTATTGATTAATAAATAACATATCAACAAGTTTTAATAAAAAAAAATATTGTCAAGAAAAAGCTATTAGAGTAATTTACTTTTATACATAGCTAGTACTTGAATAAGGGTAGGCCTCCACGAAAGCAGAGAGACAACATGCATTTTGTGACTTATTTCAGTCTGCTAGTTACATCCTTCACTGTGGGGGATGTTCATTTGTATGAAAACAAGCTCTTCTTCACACTAGTGGAAATCCGCCATAAAGATACACCAAGTGGTAATTTGCTGTTTCAATTTATATAGTAAAATGGTATGTGAATGAATGGGTAATGGGTGAATAAGACTTGGTAAAGTCATATTCATCCCTAGTGAGCTTGGTAAAGTTAGGAGCGGTACATATTCATCCTTCTTTCATAATCATCGTTACAGCCTTTCATTAGTCCACTTCTGAATCTAGGGCTCCACCAAGAAATACCACACAGCATGGTCCTGACCCACCTGCATCCATCGACTTCCTGCATGTCTTACCAGCTCATCACTCCATCCAGTAGGGAGACGCCCTATGTTTTGTCTAGGCTGTCACTCAATAACCTTTCTTCCCCATCGGCTGTCGGTTCATCGAGCTATATCGCCGGCCCATGGCCACTTCAGACCATATAACAGAAATTGAAAAGAAATCAGGGATTTTACACTCAACAAGGCATTGAAATAATTTTGCAAGAACCTGTATGTCTATCCAAAACGCAATAAGTTTTTCTGTAAAGAAAATATTGAATAGGTTTTAAGTAAGCAGGCGCGTTTTATCTTAACCATCCAAGACTGCATCACCTCGTTACTAGGTAGGATTGATTTGCGCAAGCTGGGGTCATGAATAAGGAATGATAATATATTGTTACCACCCAGCTAAACTTTGAACTTTGTCAAAATGGTTAATTTCACATTTACGGTTATAGTAGGTACACTGTTTCTTCATAATATCGCGAAGCATTTTACTGTTAAGTGTAGATACATACATATCTATGGCATGTTTTGAAATATAAACCGGATGTAGCAGTATTCGCGCTAATGCCGTTACTGAAAAGGCATCGTTCCTTTAAAGTCCGCTGTTGGAAATTCATATGCGAACCGCGTACCTATTCCCAGGCCGCATAACAACGCGTACACCGTCGAATCGAAACAGGTGCTAACAAAGTGTGGCTTTGAAATTGAACTGCACATAATATTGTAAATTTGACAATGTTCACTGATTGCGGCGTGGATTGTTCGTACTGAAATTACAGCATTTCCTTACACACTATACAATATATTATAATACAAGCTATTCCTTGTTTCTTTTGCTATTTGAAATAATCTTGAAAAAAAAATCAATTACGCTTATTCTCACTGGTCCTTTTATTTTTATGAATTTGCTATTTGTTTACACCGGTAGTTGTAGAGTAGAGCGACTCCCCAGTAGATGGTGTGACTAAATGGTAAGACATACAGGAAGTCGTTGGATGCAGGTGGCTCAGGACCGTTCTTTGTGGCATTCCTTGGGGTAGGTTTATATTCAGCAGTGGACTTGTGAAGGGCTGTAATGATGATGGTGATGAATGTTTGTTCTTTATACGAATTTAATTGAAATAATACTAGTTTTTACGGAATTTATCGCGTATATTTAACTTTTTAAATACCCGAAGTTTCGAACGCTTTACAGCACTCATGGTCACGGGCGGGACTGAGATGTTCAACGTCCATATTGTCATAGTTAACCGCGGTTACCATAGATTAAAATTTAACTTTTGTTCCGATCTATACAGTATGAACTTATGGTATCTTGAAGTCTTGCAGTTGTATGCTTGGGTTGGGATTTAATTTTATTTATTATCGGATCCCAAGCAGATGGTAGCACCCAGCCATCTTCTCTATTGAAATTAGGATGTTTTTTGATTTCAATAGCCTCGCGAATCATCCTTGGAAGGAATCTGTGTTCTTTAGCGAGGATTTGCGGTCTATCAAATCTGATGTAGTGACGGGGGGCGATCCTGTACGTGTTAAGACTGCAGACTCCCGGAGGTCGATTTTCACATAGTATATGTTCTTTAACGCGGGTTTTTATTGATCTTTTAGTTTGTCCTATGTAGGAGAGACCACATTCACAATCAAGCTTGTACACTCCTGCATCTTGCAGAGGGACATTACACTTGACTGATGTAAAAACTGACCATTCTTCTTCAGCGGCTTGAAGTATGTTTTGATGGAAGCAGGTCATTATTTCATTTGGTGTAAATCGGATGTCCGGGTGAATTTTCCCCTTAAAACTAAGTTGGATTTATACCGTGCCATACTATTATATATAGTACTGAATGTACAGTACAAGGAGTACTCATACATTTTGGGTATTTTATAATTAATCTTGTATTTTTTTATCATTAAAGAGTCAAAACGTCACTACCATGTGTGTCCCATATAACATTTTCGTCATTATTTCAGCAAAAATGTCATCTTAAACGTATGTTTATAAGCCAAAGTCACTATTTAATATAAAGCTTAATAATCATTACTAATATCTTAGATTTAACAAATGAAATCAAATTGAAAGTGATAGAATAACAACATCGTAAATATTGTCCCAAGCGAAAACAGTCATTCCCGTGTCAGTTCATGTCACGACGTGTAGTACATCACTCAACAGCTTTATAAAATTTCTGCAACTGCCCCGCGCACCTCCCAGCCACCACGCAGCCGTCAACGAAAACGCACGTCGCACATCCTGACTGATTTAAAAAAAAAGTGAAGAAAAAGGGTGTTACCGTGGTTTTTGTCAGAAAAAATTGTCTTTATTGTGGGTCTACTTCCTCGGTAAGTACACAGAATATTAGAATAGGTTTTATTTTCCCTGATTATTTAACCATTTTGTTATGACATAAGCAACAGAACATATTCCGGAACATTAACCTTGCAATGTTATGCGAATAATATTTGATTTTGTCATTACCGTGTTTGTCATTAACATGTATTACCGTGGTTGTTTTAAGCCACGGTAATGACGACGATAACGTGATAATGACTTACATATAATACATAAGTAAATATTAACAGTTTTTTTAGACTAGTACCGATTGTAATTGGTATGTAAATAAGCATTGTGCATTATATACGCCAATTTTGCTTGTTCTAGACAAAAAAATAGACATGCCACGACGTAAAAAGCCAGTAAATAGAGAAGAAATGTTAAGAAAAAAACTATTAGCGGAACAAAAAAGGCGCAACAAAATAAAGTCTAACCTTAAGCTATACAAAGAATACTTAGAAAAAGAAAAAGCTTGCTATATTAAAAGAAAGGATACTAAAAAAATTGTTCCAATTAAAGAAATAAAGCCAAGGCAACAGAGGGCACAGACACAGAGAAAAAAATGGAAGATAAACCAACATAATTTAAGAAGAAAGAAAAATGAACTTAAAATGTTACAAGAAAAAGATACGCCACCTGAAGCAGATTCTGAAGATCCCACAGAAGAGTCGAATCAGCCAAACTCTTCTAAAGAACTTGTGATTGTTTCCAATGTTGTACTCGTGCCAATTAGTGAAGAAAGATCTTGCAATAATTTCCAAAACCAGTTTGAATAGCATTTGCTCCAAAATCAAAAAAGTGATGAGGAAGATGAAGGAGAACGGGCGTCGTGCTCGTCACTTGAAGTTGCTAAAATTCAAAGATCGGAAGCATTTTTAGCTCGTACGAACGCAGAGTTACCAAGAGAGTTACAAGACATCAAAACTGCGAAATTTGAAGAACAAACGTTCTGTTTGTCTCAAGATGTTAGCATGATTATAGAAACGTCGGCAGTTAATGATATTAATTCAGATTTAGATATTACGCTAGAACCATCCGAAATTGTGATGTTTGAGACGTCAACCCCATTTGAGGCTGCTCCAACTTATGCCGAAACATTAATCGCTTTGCCGGGTGCTTCTACAGCAGATAATGAAGCTATCTCCGATTCAACGAATGTGTCAAGCGTTGACCTGTTAGGTAGTGAATTTGACGAAGCATCTTCCAATATAACAGGATTAGAAAAGACAAAGCTAAAGGATCCATATGAGAATATACAAATAGGCTCGTGGTTTGTTACATCTTACCAATGTCAGTTAAAGAAGAATACTGCCATAAAGTATTTTATTGGACAAGTGATAAATATTAATCATGATGATAACACTTTTACATTAAAATCTCTCAGAAGGATAAAAAACACCGTAAATGTTTTTTCTTGGCCGAACAAAGATGATGAAGACTGTGTCACTAAAAATTTTATTTTTAAAGTATTAAAAGAACCCAATATAAATCGCAGAGGTCAGCTTATATTTGATGATGTCGAAAATTTACTAGCTGAGTAAAATATTAAAATACTTAATTGCTAATTTTGATTATTTTTTTTACATTTCGAGTAAATAGTTACAATAATGTCTACTTAGTTTTTGATAATTTCAATTTTTAGTTGTCATTTTTAATTAAGATATTATATTATAAATTATAATTTAGTGTATTATTGTTCTCTGAAAAGTTAATTGATCTCAATAACTAACCTATGAAAAATTATTAATATATCATTTGTTTTTATTTGCACCTAGTCAAGGACCAATTACACTAAAAGAATAGTTCATCTCAGTAAACATATAAAAGTTGAATAGAAGTTTAAGTTTTATTTTCCATTTTTGTACGTATGTGATAAAAGGTAATAAATGTATCTAGTTTAAGTTATAATTATTACAGAACTGAGAAAGTTATTTTGTGAGATTATATCTTTACCAAAGAAGTTTTTAATAAACATTTATTTCATTAACAATCTGTTTTATTTTAAATTTTTAGTATATGTTTCAAGGGGAAAAGAACAGTACGAAGTATCATTTATTATTGCCGTGTTCAAACGTCATCACCGTGTGCACGAAGTGTCATTACCGTGAACAATCGTCACTACCGTACCCACATAATGTCATCACCGTGACTCCTAAAACTTCAGGGGCCCATATCTCTACTAATTGAGGCCCTAGGAGAGGGCCTTCATTTTTTTAATAATTCACACATTAGAAACTTTCAATTTAAACTCATTTTGCGGTTAAAAATACATTTGTATTTTATTTTTTCCCAATCTGCCCAATTTACATCAAATGAAATAATTACCCAATTGCACGCTTCAAGATGTAGCCAATCTTGTCAGTGACTCCTCTAACATATGGCAGTACCGCAGGTACACGCTCGACTGTGGCCGGCTTCACTCGTTCACTGTGACGTAGGCGCGGGACTCGAAGCTTGTTGTCATGCAAAACTTGCTTGACATGGTGGAGCTCGGCAGCCAGGTGTTTACTGTCACAGATCCCTCGTGCTCTCTGAAACAAAGATTTACCCACGGTAGCTAACTGTGAAGGATGGTGGTGAGAATCACCGTTTAAATATCTATCTGTATGGGTCTTTTTTCTATACACAGTATGGCTCAAGGTGTTATCAGGATTCCGAATTACTAACACATCTACAAAAGCTAAGGAATTGTTTGCCTCTAACTTCATTGTGAACTGAATTTTAGAATTTATAGAGTTAAGATGGTCTAAAAATGCAGTTACTTTATCTAAAGGTAGAATTGTGAAAGTGTCGTCTACGTACCGCTTGTAGTTGGATTGGAATGGAAAAAAAAATGGAATCTTGGATTTATGGGAGAACTAAGCAGGGCTTTAAGAAACGGCGGTGTAAGAATACAGTGGGTACCATATCGTCCCGTGGGTGTCGTAAGAAGTGATTGAGGGAAACAAATCAGGAGATGGGCAGCAGCGTCTGTCTTTTAACAACCAGAAAATTACACTGCGGTTTGATGCACTGAATGTACTACCCGTGCGCTTGAAAATGGGATTGAAAATGGCGGCGACTCTATTCACCTCTCGCTCGCACACGTCGCTGTCTATATACTCACCCGCCGGTAACGACTGCATAAAAAATACGTTGCGATATGTGTTTTTCGTACGTTCTATAACTTCAGTCCAACTTGTTATTATAATTATAACAAAATGCCATAAACCACAAAAAATCGCGTTCTGAGATTTCTTCATAATTTAATTATATATAAATTTATTTTTGCTGTTGAGAAATAAGTAACCATTTTTAAAATTATTGTTTGTCTGTTTGTTCGAGCTAATCTTCGGAATTACTGAACCGATTGTAATTAAACTTCACGAACAAATAGAGAGTAACACCAGGAGTGATCTAGACTAAATTTTATCCGAATAATTTAGAGATTTTATTAAAATAAAAATATAGATAAGATAAAATAGATGGACTTTTATGATTATCTTTGGTCTAAATAACGCCACATTATTAGAAACCACCTAGGCAAAGCCAGGGCGGGTCGCTAGTTATAAATTTTGAATTTAATTTTAAATTAATGACCTACTTGCGTGTACAGATTTTTCAAATATTTTTTCATTAATAAAAAATGTCCAATTAACCGAATAATACTACGTTATAACGATAAATCGTTATTAGCGGGTTTTCGCTATTGATACTGTACATGTTGACGGTATGGGCTCTATGGGACACCATATATAATCCCATTCTTTATCCGTACGGGCTATAGTGTGGTGTATTCAGCAGTGTATGGGTGGTATGTGGGTATGTTCATTATTCAGCAGTGGACTTTGATAGATTGTAATGAATGGATGAACGAATGTAAGAATGAATGAATGTATGAGGCAAACGAAGCTAAAAATTTATTTAAATATGTCAAGTTCTGACTACCCGGACTGGCAATGGGTTCAGGTTCGATGATATCGGCTCCGCGATCAACGAATGTGGTAATTATATGGCGAAATCTTCAAGAAGTTTCGCGCTTGTAAAATCTAGTCGATCGAAATATTAAAGTGGATCCCTCACAGTCATCGTTAATCTCATTATAAAGAAAACCTATTATGCAAATACTTCTAATATGAACTCTATCGCTACTAAAAGGTTATAACTACTTGTAACTTTAAATATAACATGATTTTATTTAACCTGTGTAACAATTTCGGTTTCCATTATTATAGTAAAACCTAATTTCAGCAGCCTATACTCGTATGTATATCTAAGTACATTACGTGAAGGGGATTCTTTATATTTTACTAATCGCGCACGGGTTAGTATAGATTTGGCATCGTTTATGGAGAAGGAGTGCAGAAAGCTAAAATTTATAAACTAGATGTGTTGTATATACATTACAAATAAGATAAAAAAATTACACATATTTATTGTTAACGTTTGAACCTTTGATTATATACTTGGTTCATACTACCAATGTTCAAACACATTTAAGTCTGTCGTTTGTTTACGTTTATACCACTAATGGGAAACACATAATAGTTTGTGGTCAATCGGTCGCTCAGAATATAGAGGTTGACGTCAAAGAATTGTAAAATGTTGCGGACAAATATATATAAAACGTTCCTCTATCAATAGCCCGTGGAGTGTATATTGAGGCAAAATACGTGGTTTAGCCACGCTGCGGCTATATTATGGTTGTAATACGAATGGGTCGGCTCGACCGGGCAGGACTACGCTCGCACAGAATACCAGCGTAAAATAGCTTAATGCTGCTGTGTTTCGTATGGTAAGTTTAGACAACCGGATGCCATTTTTTACTGGAAACGAGACATTCCATCTTAGTCCTCAAGGGTGACAATGCATCTGCATTTTGATTCTTAATCAAGGATAAAGGTAGATGTTTATGGGCACAGCATTTATAAATATGGAAATTGATAAATAATGAAGATCGTTTGAAAGGGAGAAATAATTTATTATCGTAACTATAAAATACAGCTCAATAAACAACAAAAAATCATTTGTACAATTAACTTTGAATTACTTCAAATGACAATATGGTCACCGACTCAGTATAAATCTATGTACAGTAATACTGCCGCAGCACTGTCACACTGCACTGTTGCCAAGTTAGGCTAAACAAATGCCATTTATTATTTTGGTTACTTATTTGTCTTTTTTTACTTTAATTCTTCAGTGCGACATTCGAATATACTTAAATTTATGAGGGAAAATTGATGTAGCGAGCATGTTTTCTAAACAATTTGTCGACAAACGTAGTCAAACAAAACAAAGCGTAGAGTTGTATCGGTCGGTGAATATGATTTATATTGCCTACTAGTATACAACATTATTAGAAATGTACGAAACGCATCCTTCATAATAAATCTGTAAATGCACCGGGGACGGCTCACGTGAGGTTTCTGTCGCGCGGCTTCGCAATGTTCCCAGTAAATCTCCACTTAGCGTCTTATTTTATAGTGCACACAATGCTTCAGCCGTGCGACATTTTTAAAATGCTTGTTACCCACAAAGTTTTTAAGAATACCACGGTGATTCGCGTTGGTAGCATGGTATCGCTCCGCAGTGACTTCTTCGCATTCCAAATATGTAATTGAAAAAGCGATGAAAATTATGCGCTAATCCGAGTAAATTATGTGTTTATGTTCTTATAATTGTTAATGTTGTAAGAACGAAGAAAGAATAATAGTGTAACGATTTTAGTTCATTTAAATTATAATTGCATAAATACAATGTGTATTGCCGAAGGCAAAAGTGCCACCAAAACGTGCTTAGAAATATGTACATAAACATATAATTTTATGAACATACACAGTCTGTTCAAAAAAAGTCACAGGGGGACAGGTCTAGGGAATACGGTGGCTATGTGACCATTAATGTGTTGTTTTTGGATAAATATTCGCGCACAAGCAACGATGTAAGCAGGAGCGTTATCACAGTGCAAAAGCCAGTTTTTGTTCTTCCACAAATCCGGGCATTTCTGGCGGATTGCTTCACTCAAATTGCGCATAACTTGTAGGTAATACTCCTTATTGACCGTACTACCCTATGGCAAAAACTCATGATGCACCACGCCCCTGTAATCGAAGAAAACTGTGAGCAAAACTTTCACGTTCGATCGAACTTGGCGCGCTTTTTTCGGTCTAGGCTCATGTGACAACCTCCATTGGGATTATTGAGCTTTGGTTTCCACGTCATAACCATAAACCCATGATCCGTCACCAGTTATGACCCTCTGGAGCACATTTGGGTCGTCACGGACCGAGTCCAACATCTCCTGAGCAATGTTAACGCGATGTTGTTTTTAGCCGAAATTGAGCAATTTTGGCACGACTTTCGCGACGACCCGACTCATGTCCAAATCATTACTTACAATCGAATGGCACGAGCCAATCGATATGTTTAGGTCCTCAGCAACTTCTCTAACGGTGGTTCGACGATTGGCCAATAATATTTTCTTCACTTTATCAATGTTATCGCCTGTTATTGACCTGCTCGGGCATCCGGCACGCTGTTCGTCGTTCACATCTCGGGC